CTATTCATGAGATCCATGAATACTGCTGGAGCATTGGTCAAACCAAACGGCATTACCGTGAACTCATAATGACCATAACGAGTACAGATCACAGTCTTTGGGATGTCCTCTTTCTTTACAGGGATTTGATGGTATCCTGACCGTAAGTCAATCTTAGAGAATACAGTAGATCCTCTAAGTTGATCAAATAAGTCATCGATACGAGGTAAAGGATATCGATTTTTGATTGTGACTTTGTTCAATTGACGGTAATCGATGCAGAGTCTCATCGAGCCGTCTTTCTTTTTGACAAACAGGACGGGTGCTCCCCAAGGGGAAACACTCGGACGTATGAATCCTTTATCAAGTAGTTCTTCTAGTTGAGCCTTCAACTCTTTCATTTCAGCAGGAGCCATGCGATAGGGAGTTGCAGATATCGGTCCTGTTCCAGGAACAAGATCGATGGAAAATTCTACTTCTCTGGAAGATGGTATACCAGGAAGTTCGTCAGGAAATACGTCAGGAAAACCACATACTGTCGGTATGTCTTTCAACTCAGGAGTTTCCTTTCGCGTGTCACGTACGTTACACAGATAAGCTTCACATTTCTTTCGAATGAGACGCCTAGCGTGTATGTACGAGATGAATTCAGTGGATCTAGGTGTTAGATTTTCTTTTAACTCTATAGACTTTCCTTCTCTAGACTTCAGGGTAATCGTTCGTCGTCGGCAATTGATAATTGCTTGGTGTTCGGTGAGCCAATCCATTCCGAGGATGATGTCAAATTCGTTGTACGGTAATTCGACAAGATTGGCAGAGAACTGATGTCCTTCAACAATCAATGGACAGTCTTGATACACATGATCTAACCTCATACTATGTCCTAACGGATTAGAAACTAGTATAGGTTGTTCCAATTGTTCTTTCATTATGTCAGCCTTGTCAAGTATAGGCACGCAGATATAAGATAACGTTGATCCAGGGTCTATCAACACATGCATGACAGAATCAAATAAGGAAAACATACCCTGAATGACGTCAGGGTTCTCCTCAGCTCGTGCCTTCATTGCATAAGTACGAGCAGGAGCTCGTCCCTGTTGCTGACTCTGGTTCTTGGCCGGATTAGATCCCGCCGTTGATCGTTGAGTTGGCGCAAGTCGTGCTGATGCTGATTGACTGACAACTGGGGCTGTCGGAAATGGTTTGCCAGGATTAGTGGGGCAATCCCCACTAATCCTTGGGCAAGCCAACACTCGCCTGGATGATGTCTCCCACATGTATCGCACAATGGGTGTTTCCCCCATTTTGATTTGTTTTCCGATGCCACAGAGTGCGTCTGCAATGATTTCCCTTTCTTTGAGAAGTGTGAATTGCTAGATTCCTAGAAGGGCCTTTTTCCTTTTGAGATAGAGTTGATGGAACGGTGAGTGTTTGAACTAACATTATTTGTCTTCAGATACTCAATGCAAGCACTCAAGTCGCTGTCTGCCCTGGCTATGAGATCATAGGCCTCCGCGAAATCCACGGTGGTTAGAACGGACACACGCAACCTAAGGTCAAGTCGAAGCTTCTTCCTGAATTCCTCGATGCGATCGGTTGGGGTACTCACCAAGGTTGGTGCAAACTTAGCAAGACTGGTAAACTTCTGACGATACTCGGGGAGTGTCATGTCTCCCTGTTGCAATTCGACAAATTCCTTACGTTTTTCTTCACTAAAACGTTTTGGAATATATTCTTGTTTGAATGCCCATTCGAAATGTGTCCATGTCCATGGCTTAGGGGTTCCTGCACTGTCATCAGTCCTCTTCCACCACTCGTAGGCTTCCTTGCGAAGCAGCTGAGACGCCAGTCGAGGATAGTTGCCAATGGGTACATTAAGATCCTCCAACACTCGAGCAGTCTGCTCGATCCAGTCCCATGCAATTTGGGGTTCACCGATGCGATCCCCAAGGAATAATTCTGCACCGTTATCCCTTAATGTTTTGTAGGTTATCACTCGTGGTGGCGGTGGTGGAGGTGGTTGAAACATTGGTGCGTTGGCTATCTGTTGTAATACATTTGCCAGGAATGTGGGAATCACAAGGTCGGGTTGACCATCAGCGTTCGGGTTATTCCCAACATTTTGTTGATTGACGGGTTCATTTTGGACGGGAGGGGTAAAGCTAGATGCTTCAGTATGAACACTGACGTGTTCATTATTGTTGCCTTGTCCGTGGGCAGATTCTTGACTCAATCTACAATAACAGAAATTCCTTTATTATGATTCTTTTATTCAGTAGTTGAGTTTAAGACAGGAATTGCAAAGGATTACAACAGTTGATAAAATCAATGGATTTGAAATCAACAATAAGATAATTTTCTAAGAGTTTGCGTTCCATTGGTTGGTTCGTGCCGAATCTACAGACGAGTCTTCCTTGCCCGACCCACATACGCTACTGGCAGAGTCTACGCTGAACGTCTCTTCTGGGTCATCTCGTTCCCACGCAGCCTTGCGGCGTAGATAAATCCTTCGTTTCATTATTCTTGCGAATCGATGTGCACGTTGGTAACGTATCAACGAGTCATAGACATTTCGTTTGTTCTTTCGTCTATTACCAAGTACGAAAGTGCGACTTGAATCAACACTTGATATCATTTCCGAATTAACAGTTGACATCTATAAAATTTGATACAGTCAATTTCAATACTCATTTTTTTTTATTACCTTCCTGGAGCAGAGGGATGCGAGAGTCGTGGATTTGATTAACATTATTTTTTTAACCCAAAATATATAATATATATTTTTAAATCAAACATTGATCCGAAGATCGTGTTTAAAACCATTTGCTCCGATACCAAAATGTAACACCCTAATCCGTCCAGGTTTACAACCCCTTCCGAACTAAAGTATTAACTTGGTAATCGTATAATTTAAAACATTTCAAATAACTTTATTCATCATAAATGAAATTACAAACATAATTGTAGTAAATACGGAGTGTTTAATGCGGAAGCGATTTTTAAACATGGTTCATAATAACAGAATCATTTATTTTCTCAATAAATCCACCACGACTGTCTCGCCCCTTCCGCTGCCAAGAACATGCCATTCACTCATTCTGTCTACCTGCGTGTAGCAAATAAAACATACTACACGCTCAGCGATGAAGCTGAGTAAGCATATCTAAAGCGTCGAACATCCAAATAAATTGAATCTCAATTCATAATCAACCATTTGATATCATGCACACAATATATGATTCAAACATTCATGATATTCTCAATATTTTATTCCAAGTCATTCGATATTCAATATCTCAACCATGCTCTTAAATTATTCTTAATCTAAGGCCAAATCATTTTATAACAAGCTCTTAGCTATTCCTAGTCTAAGGCAACATTTCTAACCAGGCCCTTAAACTATAAATAGTTTAATGCAGAACACAAGAATCGATAATCCACCCTATGAGTC